GCCTGGAGATGGCCATGGTCTTCAGAGAAATATTATGGACTTTTTCAGCTTGTAGTTTTCGGCCAAAAGTGGTGTTTGCAACCATGTTGTTGAGAACATAATGTTCTACATATTGTGTCCTTGGAAATATGTTGTTACACAGTGCTTTTCACCAAAAACTATTAACTGCACATGTCCACAACACATAGACTTGTGGTTTTCCATGCTAAATGGCCAATCTCGCTAGTGCAAAAACCCATGAAGTGAGCGTGAGGCACAGCAAACACTTATTTTCTGGGTTTTTGCTTTCATAAAACTGTATGGGATGAATTTTAAATTTTATTTCTAGTTATAGTACTGAAATAGGAGGATCTCTGTGCGAAAATGATGGAAATATACAAAAATGTACTAGTGAATTGGTGGCTAGGTTTTGCTCCACCTGGTTTTACTGAGTGGAGTTTCTCTCCCCAGATGAATACAAACGCCTTTTTGACTCATGAGCCCGCGATTCTTTCATCCTCTCTTTTCTTTCTGCTTTTTCCATGTGCCTCCCCTTCCTCTCTTTTCCCCTCTGCTTTTCCCATGTTTCAAAGAAAAAAGGAGGGGGTTGGAGGAGGCCCCCTCCTTTTTTTAAAAAATTTGGGCCCTGTTTTAACTTCTATGGTTTGGTTTGAGTTCCTGCCCTATGCTGCTGTTACGTGTTTATTATTTGATGTTGCATTTGCTCGCATAATTTATGTTGTTCTTATGATTGCCTTCAGTTTATTCCCTCTCATCCCTCCCCCCTTTTTTTTTTTTTTATTTGGACCCTCCTTAACTACTATGGTTTGGTTTGAGTTGCTGTCCTATGCTGCTGTTACGCATTTTATTATTTGACGTTGCATTTGCGCACATAATTTATGTTGTTCTTATAATTGCCTTCAGTTTATTCACTCTTTATCCACATCGACAATGTTTCTTCTATTTGTTTCTGACTATTGTTTTGTAATTTTTGAAACAATGGTTAATAAAGAATATTAAAAAAATGTACTAGTGAATTATGTATGTGTGGTGGGACCAGCATGAAATTCTGCCTTGCTTAATTTTGCATTAAATTGAGGCATAATAGATGTTAAAGTGATTCTGTGACACTAGACACTGCTGCTGTGACTGTGGAAAATGTGCCTTCGATACTTTGTTTACATTCCAACTAAAGCACTGTATGCGGTATGGAGGCCTACAGAGCTCATCTGTGTGCACAGTGAGCACATAATTATTATATACAATAATTGTGGACAATAGGAAGTTTATCTGAACAAAAATCAACTTTTTAAAAGTTGATTTTATGGGTCTTATAAACTCTTTCTATGCTGTATATCATACATAGGTAACCTGCAGCCCCTTGATCAGAAAATGAGAAAGGAAGTCTGACTTACAGTTAAAAAACTGGGAATGTTCAGTTTGGAAAGAAAAACTTTGCTGACTATATATGTCATTTATTATATGCATGGTTAACCAGTAAAATGCTGCACATTGCTGTGGACGTGGCAGCTGTTTGTGGTGTGCATGTAAGCTGGTTTTAGTTTGGTGAGCACTTGTGGGTTGAAGGACAAACTACGTTTTTCTGTCTGTCTCCAGTAATAAGATTTTCACGCAGTAGTTTGCGTCACCATCTCAACCTAAAAAAGCCATATTGAAGGGATCACTCTCTTGCAGTATGTTTACCCAATTATTTGTATAGTGTGCGTAATGACGACTCCATTTAGGCAACATTATGCCATCACTTGGCTATGTAAGTGCTGCAGAACTCAAAAGAAATGGAAATTCTTAAATGGCACTGCACTGCTGGATAACCTGTCAGGTAGCAGAAGCCCACATTTACTAAATTAGCACACCCAATATCTATATTGTTAGTTTTGCGTGCTAAAAAGACATTAATTTTAGAAAGGCAATTTAAACAAGTTTACATTTTTTGTCCTGCAATGAAAATTAGTACTGGTCATATTTACACACAATAAATGGAGGTACAAGACTGGCCATAGCTTGGAAAATACTGGCCTGGGAGTATCATCATACTTTAGGATACAAGATCAAGTATGTTTATTTTTAACAAATCATACATGTCCTGTTTACTTGAAACACTAGAAGGTCATATTCCGAGATGTTCTTCGTGTCCCTGGCTAAAAAGGGTTAAATGAGACATGCTGCAGAGGACAGGACAGCCAGGTTTCTCTTGCTGTACTGCATTGTCAGTCTCTGCTCAGCAGAGGTTTTCCCCCCTCCTGTCTCTCATTGTGCCTGAGTCTTATCAGCATCTTGCAGGCTTGCCATCAGTATGCACCTCATTATGCCTACAGTAATGTCCTCTGAATGCAAATAGATCAGCAGCCAGCAAGGAGCCCCCAAGCAGAGGACTGGATGTACGAACCGCCATCACACTCCTCTGCGTGTTTATTTTTTGCTGTAGTAAGGAATGTTACAACATCTCTGTGTCTTGCATGGTGCTCCCCCGTCTTATCTTGGGAAACAGCATTTGTTACAGCACCTGTCAGACAAAGATTCTTCCTCCCAGGATAGGGTGACCCAAGCTGTGGTAAGATTAGAGAGTCTATTATAAAAATCTGTGACCAGTTTTTGGCAAGAAATCAAAGCTGATTTTTGTCTGCCCACTTTAATATTTCTGGAAGCATTTTATCCTACATTTATATTGTTGTGGGGAAAAAAAACTTCAGCCAAGGAAAAAAAGCTATAGTCCCTGGCAATTGTTTAGATATGTTTTTTCTAATCTGCACAGGGAAAATGGCTTTTGGAAGCTATCTGGTTGCTTTAGGAGGCATAAACAAGTTATGGATGGGTTACACAATATATTAGTGGTGGTGGGGGGAACCCCTGTAAAAGTCCTGGACAGCCTGATAACTGAATATCAAAGGCTGCAGGAATAAGCCCAAAGGCTATATTGGTCTTCATTGCCTAATGTAGCCAGACATAGATTGCCTTAAATTGGATCGAGTTCTGTTAAATATAGCCAACCTGAATGGAAAGTGTACTATTTTTGTTACGTATTAACAATTATTATATGCTTATAATATTTAATAAAATATCTTCATAATTTTATATTATATTTAATGTTATAGCATTATTCATTGTTATTTAATAGCATAATATTACCTTTATTATGACATATTTTTACAGATTTGTGTTACTATTTTACAAATTAATATTGTGAGATTAACCTTTAGGGCCCATTCACTTCAATGCATGTGTTAATCACATGCGATTAAGGTATCATGCAACACACCTACCATGCATTACAGTGCTGCAGGTGCATTGCGAAATGGCAATGCAACGCGCCTCCTTGCAGCAACGCACGGTACCACTAGACCATGTGTAGGAAAAAGTAGTGCATGCAGTTCTTTCTTCCACTGCACTGCAGCGGACAGTATTGCAGTACTGCGTGTTGCAATTAACGCACCACATTAGTGGATCAGTGCAGTTTAGATAAAATATTAGCCACACAGGAAATGCATTGCAGACTTGCATTGTGAGAAAGAGCTGTAAAGCACAACCATTGTGCAGCACTGCAAAGCAGGAAGCCTGGAGTTTGTAATGAGAAAATACCATATGTGTGCCCTCTTGTACAAATATACTTACAAAACATTCACATTACAAAGTATTTCTAAAACGTTAACAAATACTTTTCAGATTTACCTCAAGCTGATCTCTTTAACATGTTTATCTAAAAAAAACATTAAGAAGACTATATCATCAAGTTTACTTATCTAAGCCTCTCAGAGTTTGTAGTCTGCTGAAACACTGAAGGTGTAGGTTATGCATGAATGTGCATTTGCGTAAAAGGCAGCCCACTCATTATGAATGGCCTGCCAACATACCGCAACAGATTAAAAAATACACATGATCCTTTTTTTAATAACCCAGCACAATACGTGCATTGTGCTATGCTGTGGTGCACTCTACTGTACACGATAAATGGTACCTCACATAGAATAGGCGCATTGCCACATGTTGCAGGGACGCGTGCATTTTACACTGCATTGCCACTATGTGCGAAGAGGGCCAAAGGGCTCAATCACACTAGTAGCTCTGGGCTGCATTGCTCAGCAATATCATAAAACAGGGTCAGGCATGATAACTTTCAGTGGTACCTGTTAACACTAATGTCTTGCATTGGTTGTGCGCAGAAAAAAAAATAGAACAGGTTGCATTTTATTGGAGCGCATTGCAATAAGTTGCAATGTGTGATGGAAGGATAGAATAAAGCAAAAAAAAAGACGTAAAGTAAAGCAAAAAAAGGCATGAAGTTAAAAAAAAAAAAAGCATTGCAAAACAAAGAATTTTGTGCGTTATGTGCGCCTTAACATATGGTGTGAACAAGATCGAAGGTTTACATGAAATTATTGTGTGTGTTTTTTTTTTAAGACAACCTTTATTAATATGATTTAGGCCCCATTGACGCTTGTGAATGGAACCGATCTCATGAGTCTCACGAATTGCTTTGATCAGCTGCGGGCGGGAGACACTGTACAATGCAGTCACAGCTACCCGCACCCACAGTCGTGACAGGCTTGCCAACAATTGCATTTGGACACAAACAGGAGCAATCTGTGTCCAGGAGAGATCATGTGGAGGTAATCGCAGCAGGTATGGCTGAGGGCGCTGGCAGTTGTCATTACACTGTACAGCGCCCCCCATCCGCAGCTGACTGCACGAGTCTCACAAAGCAAGTAATGAGTCCCATGCAATTGACGCCATTGGCAATTGTGAATGGGGCCTTAAATGAAGTTCCTGCAGAATCCAGAAAATTACAGTGGGTTTGCAAACATTTTCTCACAACTGTGTATATATATATATATATTATGCAACAAAGTATGAAGCAATTATGTAGATGTAGCCACTTGTCAGTTTGCTATACTGTATTTGTAGATTTTACCTTTATATTTGAGCTCTCTGAACAAAGCATCTGTGCTTAGGTTTTTTAAATGTCTGTAGTCCTCCTCATGTCCCTGTGATCTTGTGTCTTACAGAACCAGGCTGAAGCTCATTATAAGGGCCACAAGCATGCACGGAAGCTCAGAGCCTTGGAGAGCGCACGACACAAACATAAGCATAATGGAAGTCGAGAAAGAGCATCAGCACCCCCAGTGGACACCAAAAAAAGCACAGACTCTCAGAGTGAAAGTAAGATCCTTTCTAAAGGACATCACCTTTAATTAAATATGCAGTAGTGTACAGTACAAATGGCAAAATTAGGTACCAAAGTGAATTTATGTTATGCAGAAAAAGTACATTTTCACCATGTGCACCCAACATTTAAATATGGCTGGAGTGGAGGAGAACTATCTTAATGTTATGTGATTAAATCAAATTGCGGATGGGTAAATCTCTCTTAGCCATCATTCTTGGTGGGAGGAATCACCATCAATGGGCTGACCACCTTGTAGAGCTCCTTTTCCCACTGTAAACTCCAGTGAGTGCTACAAGTAGTTTTGTCATTAGACATTTAGTATTTATATATTATCTCACTGCTTTCTGCATACAGTATACTCGTTTTGCACCAAATGCCCCTTTCAGCCACCTGATTGGTTTCCCATCCCTCTTGGCTGAAAGCTCTGGCTGCGTCAATCTGGCAAACCACTAGAGGTTCTTTCATTTGAAAGTTGAGTGAGAGTGATGAAGCTTGGCATTGAGAAAGAAATTGAGGTCCTGTGTACATTCTGAGAGCATGGGCATCCACATGTTATTTCTAAGAGCTGATGAAGAGGAATAAAAGAGCAAGGTTTAAATATGATTTACAGAGTTGATAATTTTCCAAGCTGTCTGAACATACAAAATGTGCTAGGAAGGTGAAGTCAGACTGTAGGGGATGCCTAAACTGTATGTAAACCCAAATACTAACACTGGATACTAAGTTCCCTTTAGGCCTTGTAAGTGTTCTGGAAGTGTTGCTTTGAGTAAATGTTAAATAAATACCTGTTGATTCTGCCTGTTTCTGCTTTCTCTGAGGCCTTCCTTTAATAGATTGGCAACTATCATAATAGCTTCCAGTGCCATAGGAGCGTTGCCCACCTACTGTGTGACAGTCAGCCATGCCACAGTCAATGAATGCCACATGCTTGTTGATTCCCACTGCTGCAGTCAATGCCACCTGGTGGTTGATTGACAGCTGCTCTGACCATTTAGCAGCCAACACTGGAACTTTCTGCTTTAGTGATGTTACTAACAACCTCAAGCAGCTTCTTCCCTCCCTCAGACACTGATAAGAGCAAGTGAAAAGGTCTTTAAAGAAGAACTCCAGGCAAATAAAAAACTTACCCCTGCAGTGGTCAGCGATCACCTCTCTCTCCATTCGGCTATGGAATGAAACTCTGCGTCCTCATGTCTAAATTGCAGGTCAATGGACCTACATAAGACGTGATAATGTCAGTGGTTCTTAGACCGCTGGTACCCAGCGGAGAAGAGGCTGCGGGGACTGGTCTGCCAGCCCGGAGGAAACCAGGATCAGGTAAGTAAATCTGTATTATTCCAGCCTTTAGACAAAATGAGCACTTGTCCTTGCAGTGGAGCTACCCCCACACTGCAAGAGTTAAGTTTTTTTATGTGCATAGAGTTATTCTTTAATTGACTATAATATTGTATGCATGCACTATTTTATGCATTATTGTAAAATACCAGGGTCACATACGTATACTTTGTGTACATAAGTATGGACAAGCTGACAAAATCTTATACTCAAATGATCTTTTTCCTTATACTGACTTTCACAATTTTCCTTATACTGACTTTCTATGGGTTGGACTTGATGGACGTATGTCTTTATTCAACCCCAAATACTATGTAACTATGTAACAATGATACGCCAGGGCTCAAAATTTGGAGTGGAAATTTGGGTCTCCAAGTACCGGTCCGCAGGCCAACTCCGGCTTGCGAGCCGGTACTATTTGACCCACAGACAGCTGACATGTCAGGCACACGGTCGCAGACCGCGTACCTGACTTGCGGGAACAGCTCCACGGTCTGCATCTGTGTCGGATGCAGACCGCAGAGCTGCCCCTGTCAGCTTCGGCTTCCTTCGACCGGAGCTCTGACAGTTCTGAGCTTTGGCCGAAAGAAAGAATGTATGTGAGGAGGATTGATCCCAGGTTATCTGGGGGTGATTAGTGAGATCTGCTGCAGACCTCACTAATCACTCACAGATAAACCAGGGATCGATTCTGCTCACAGCCTCCTGCCTGCAAAGACGTGAACATGTGAGGGGGCCCGGGGGAGTGTATTGTTTTATGTGTGTGGAGGGGTGGGGTTAATAAGGGGGGGAGTATATTATTGTATTTAGTATATTATTTTATATGTGTGGGGGGGTTAATAAGGGGGGAGTATATTTTTTTGTGTGTGGGAGGATTAATAAGGGGGGAAGTATATTATTTTATGTGTGGGGGGTTAATATTGTGTTTTAAGCCTTACAACCAATCGCACGACTTTCGTTATGCGATTGTTGTAAGGTCATTAAAATCTCGTACGATCTGCCCATCTTGGACAGGCAGATAGTACTTGCGATCATCGCAAGCCCTCCCCACTGAGGGGTTGGCTTCCGATGATTGCAGTGCTGAGTGGGCAGTGTGCGCTTGCGGCATTCGTCTTCCAACCACACCACCAACCCGCCCAAAATCGTACGATTTTCGGCAGATTTTCCAGCGTGTTTGGAAGACGAAAGCCGTGCGACCTTACAGTAGAAGCGGTCGCACGCTGCCCATACACCTGCCGAAAGGTGTATGGACACCTTTAGTGTATGTATATATTAGGCCCCATTCACACCTACAGTATATTTCAGGTGTGCTTAGAGATTCCTGTGTCAAGAACCTGTGTTTTCCTGCAGCAGGAATCCCTAATCTGCCGTTTACGGCAACTATCATAAAATAAGAATTATCATAAGATTATTTAAGAGGGTGTGTTTAGGGGCAGAGTTAAGGCCGGGCCTGGGTAAGGGTTAGGTGGGGCAACTGGTGGCTCTGTAGCTCAGGACTTGAAATTTTGAGCCCTGACATACACATTTGCATCACTTGAACATGCTTGTTAATGTAAAGCAGAAGAGGAGTAAGATGACAGCCATACAGTATGTCCCTGGTACTTGTTTTATTTCTGGGAGAGCAACCAAAGAAAACAAAGCAGACAGTTGTCTGTTTCTCTAAGACCGATTACTGGATGGATGGATGAGACAGTCATTTACTTGCATCTTTGGGTAATTTATGCTAATAGTGTATTAAAGTGGATGGTACTTTTCAATTTTATGTTTTTCTGGAGTTTGCAATATCTATCAGACAAATATTAGTTCAGTTTAGTAACAAATCTGTGGTGGAATATATAACAATGTTCCATAGCGAGAGCTGGTAACAGCACAGCTCTGCCATTTTTAAAGGTTTTAGGTAATACGATTAGAGGCTAGGGTTCTTAATATGAGCTTTTGAAATGTTTAACTGTATACATGCTATAGTGCTCACAAAAGTATTACAGTCCAAACAATTGCTTTTATCTGTGGAAGGAACCATTAGTAAACAGGATTTTTTTGTGTGATAAATCTTTTAAATTGCATTTTCTGATTTTTATTAGTTAATCCAATAAAGTACAAATGATTTAAAGGAAATGTCCTCAACCAGGCTGAAATGGTTACAGTACAGTCGGTCTCCAGATCTTACATAACCTGATTTCCCCCTCTCTCAAATTTAACTAGCCTAAAGAATCAAACTGAACACTAATACAAGGAAGAGAATCCTCTTTGATGTCCGTCATGGATGTTAACATGTCCCATGTCGGAGGATAGAGATAAGCCTGGAGAGGCATTTGTTAATTGCCTTTGAACTTGGTGTTGAAGATAATTGCTTGATTGTCCCAGCAGGAATCTACTCTCTTTTGTCCCCACATGCACGGAAGAAGCTGGGAGAAAATTACACAAATTTTAATTTTGAGCTAACACAGGCCGTGAATGTTACAGCTGAATAGGACCGGCAGACAGAAAAACCATGTTTACTGGCCCCCGGCTCCTACTTACAAATTGTACATGACAGAACCTCTAGTCTGCTGTTAAAAGATGGATTTGAAGCAAGATGCATGCTAACATGATTGGACCGTGATTTCTGTTCTGCAATAATGAAAAACAATACATTTGGTCCATCATATAAAAAAAAAAGAACACAAAGCAAAAGGTCCCTGTTTGCTTACTTTATTTGGTGTATACCACAATGAGCCGGAGAAGTTAGATTAAATTTGTGTGTGTATATATATACATATACAGAGTAATATTCAGGGCGAATATGACAGGTAGCCAGCCGTATCAGCAAATAAACTTTTATTCTTTTCCACAAACAATCAAATAAAATGGCTTATATTGAGCAGAATGGCAAAATCAACAGGGCTTATGGTCAGCAAATACACGATTCGGCTCAGCACCTGTATACCAAGTCCCACCTCAGGGTTAGAGTCCCAGCCTGCTCACAAAGGGCTTGAGTATGGACACAGGTGCCCCAACAGTGTCTCGGTAGACGGTATTCCACAGCCATGTGTCCTGCTCCAAAACACTCCTCACAGACGCAGACTGACTGGCTTCCTGTTCCTTTTTAACACGCCCTCTGGCTGGTGGGTTAACCCTTTCATTGCCAGAACTGGCTGTAGTCAGGGATGGAGGCTCCGTCCCACCCAAAAATCTCTCTGAGCCTCTGGATTCCGGGGGCCCATGTATAATTAAGAACTCTGGGAAGACTGCCTAGCAATTTCCCTTACAAGTCCAAAACGGAACCCCTTACCCTACTTGGCGAGAACCCTGAATACAAGGGACCACCACCTAAACAAGGGAGGGATATACCATCCATCCAGGACCCATTCCTGTAGTACCCCAGTGCTCGGTCCTGGAACAATTCTGTTAATCTTGTTTATAAGGCATATAGAGGTTGGAATAAATAACTCTATTTAAGTGTTTGCAGATTATACCAAGCTATGTAGAGCTATAACTATAGCTCTAACAATGCCAAGCTGCACAAGCAGTATACTATCATGCATTAAAAAAAGGATTTTCTCAAGAGATAAAACTGTAATTTTACCAATACACTAAACGCTGGTTCCACCTTATCTTGAGTTTGCAGAATAGTTTTGGTCACCAATCCTTAGGCAGGATGCCCTTGAACTAGAGAGAGCTCAGAGAAGGGCAACAGAGCAGCATTTCTTGACCTTTTTTCCAGAAGCGGCACCCTATAAAAATATGCAAAATCTCAAGACATCCCAGTCTAAAATGTAAAAAACAAATGTAAAAAAATTGTTGCCCCTCCAAAATCCATAGCAAACCCTTATCCCAGATAGGGGTCTGGTATGGATTTTCAGCAAAGACCTTATGCCAAAACACACAATAATAGAGCATCTTTTCGTGACCGTTTTTCCAGAAGCTGCACCCTATAAAAATATTCAAAATCTCAAGACATCCCAGTCTAAAATGTAAAAAACAAATGTAAAAAAATTGTTGCCCCTCCAAAATCCATAGCAAACCCTTATCCCAGATAGGGGTCTGGTATGGATTTTCAGCAAAGACCTTATGCCAAAACACACAAAAAGATGAGTTTCTCCCTTTACACCAGAGCCCCCCTTTCGCCACAGAAGCC